CTGAATCTAAGAGACTTATTCCCATGACCCATGGGGCCCCTAAGAGTTGGGCCTCCAGCCCTGAGGTCCTCCAATATTCGCCTCCATCTGTCTTGGCCCTACAGACAAAAGGGACCCCAGGCCCATGAGCTCCCCAGACAGCCCCCCACACCCCATGGACAGCACCCCTCTTCCCCCTCCCTTCACACAGCCGTCGCTGCCTCAGCCTCGCGAGCTTCCCCCCGGTCGCCTGCCCAACGGGCTTGAGCCGCCCGAGCGGACACCTCGGCCTGACCGGCCGCGGGCGCGGGACCGGCCCAAGAGGCGACGGCGGCCGCGGCCCCGAGAGGGTGGTGAGGGCGGGGGAAGCCGGCGCTCGCGCTCCGCCCCAGCCCAGGGCAGCTCCGCCCCCGCGCCTCCACCACCGCCCACTCACACAGTGCAGCACGAGGGCTTCCTGCTGCGCAAGCGCGAGCTCGACGCTAATCGCAAGTCGTCCAACCGGTGAGCGTGGGGCGGGGCTTTGGAAGGCGGGTCCCAAGCTCGGGGTGTCCAATGAGTGAATAGGTGGCCCTGAGGCGGGGTGGGGTGGGGCCCAACTTCAGGACCTCCAACCGGTGGGAGGGGGTTGGGTGAGGCCAGAGAAGGGGCGGGGCTCAATTTCAAGAACTCCAACCAATGAGTAGGAGGGGCGGGGCCTAAGCGTAGTGCGTCCGGTAGCTGAGTGGGCGGAGCTTAGATCCGGGCGGGACAAAAACGTTCTGGGAGTGAATAAATTGAGTCCCGCATCTCAGAGCAACCATCCCAGGAATTAACTATAACTAAATAGCGAACTGAGGGTGGCATCTATCCTAGAGGGTTGGAATGGCATGTGAGGTGGATCATGAAGAGGTCATCCAACCAATGAGTGGGGGATGGGTCTACCCATGAAGTTTCGAACCGGGGGGGAGGGCTTCAAAGGGGGCAGAGCTGAAACTCGGGGTTGAATGGGAAGGAATCTCATATAGCTTTCCAATAAAGGCCTAACCATGATGCGTCTACTCTTGGAATCCAGTTACTAGTTGTCTAACCCCTTTTTGTCCAGTTGGGAGGTAGAATCTAGGAATAGGTGGGGCCAAAAAGGGTAGAACTGGCTAACTAGTGGAGTGAGGCCTAGACCCAAGACGTGAAGTGAGTAGGGCAGGTTCAGATTTTGCTGGTAGGGTCTGGAGGTAATTTCTCTTTTCTGTATCTAGGCCAAGGTGGGAATAAACTGGGGCACCTAGTGTATTTTGCTCTTGAGGGACTTCCTCCTGGAATGGGGACAGAAATTCCTCATTCCAGACAGGAGACCAATAGATCTTCCTTGAGGGAGCTGAGTGAGGGATGGAGTTGGGAGGAATCAGTGGAATAAAAAGGCTTATGGAGGAGACAGCTTAAGTCTTGCCTTCAGGAAATTCAGTATGGGAGGGGTTAAGGAAGGGAAACCTCAGCAGGGGCCAGCCTGGGAGAGACTTGACACTTCCCTCAGCTCAGGAACAGCCATAAGGAGAGCATCCAGGCATATGGCCCAACTAGGGCACAGGCCTAGAGGTGGGAAGGCTCAGGTATGTTCAGCCTGTGAAGGTGTTAATGAAGAGTACCCAGGGCAGAGTGCTGCAGCTCTGCCTTGATCCCTATTTCATCACTTCAGGTCGTGGGTGAGCCTATATTGCGTGCTCAGCAAGGGAGAGCTGGGCTTCTACAAGGACTCCAAGGGCCCAGCATCGGGGGGCACACATGGCGGGGAGCCACTTCTCAGCCTGCACAAGGCCACCAGCGAGGTGGCTAGTGACTACAAGAAAAAGAAGCATGTCTTCAAGCTCCAGTGAGCCCCCAGGGGGCAGGAGGGGGGATCCAAGGCCCAGCTTCCCCCTTCCAGCAGGACCCTGGCTCCTCTGGAGGACAGTTAGTGGGTGTGTGGGCTGGGCCCCTTTCACAGATTCCCCAAGTCCTGTGTCTCCTCCTGCAGGACCCAGGATGGCAGTGAGTTTTTGCTCCAGGCTAAAGATGAGGTGAGATCTGGTCTTTCCCTCCCCTTGGTGGACCTCAGGAATGACCTGGCTACCTGGCCGGCTGGTTCCTAGCCCAGAGTGAAGGGGCTATAAGAAGGGAAGCACAGAGGCCAGAGTTATCAGGGCAGTAATGGGAAAGCCACGATCAGTGAGACTCCAGAGGACGTTCCTAATGGGGAGGGGGCGAATTCAAGGAGGGCTGCTGGGAGGCCCTGAGGGCAAAGTCTAACCCCCTTGCCTTGGCCACTCTGGTGAGACTGGGAAGATAAGCAGAAGGAGTTAGCTTTAAAAAGGGGTGATCCAGGTAGGGGGAACTGCAAGTGCAGAGGACCAGAGGTGCTGAATTGCAGAGATACCTTCTAAAGGACAGAGATCAAGGAGAAGGGTCTGTGGTCCCAGAAAGGTTCCCAGGGGCTGGATCTCTCAGGATATTATAGGCCTTTCAGAGGAGGTTGGATTTTATCCTAAGGGCACTGGGGAGACATGGCAGGGTTGTGATAGGGTAGCCCGTTGGCTACCACATGCAAGGTACATTGGAGGGGGTGGAAGTGGAGGTGGGGAGTCTAGGAATCGGCCATGGCAGGAACCCTAGTGGCTGGACCAGGCCCACCTGTGGGAAGAGAGAAAGAGGTAGACGAGAGAGAAGGGAACGTGAGTGGACCTCAGGACTGGGGCTAAGGGGAGGAAGAGCAGGCATGGAGGTGTGATTGGAAGAGATGTTGAGAATAATAACATTTGTTATCTCATTCAGTCTTTACAAGAGGTTATGCAGTAGGTCTTATTCTTTTCATGCCTCCTTTTGCTTATCTGTAAAGTGAAGCTAAAAATTTCTTTTTTTTTTTTTCGTGACCGGTAACGGGATCACAACCCTCGGTGTCGCGCCCGCACCGCACTCAACCAGTGAGCGGACTGGTCTCTATATGGGATCCGAACCCTCGACGGGAGCGCAGCTGCGCTCCCAAACGCCGCACTCTACCGAGTGCGCCACCGGGCCGGCCCTAAAAATTTCTTTTTATAGGGTTATCGTGACAATTAAATAAGTTGATACATGGAGAGCATTTAGCACAGGGCCTGCTAAATGTCAGTACTTTATAAGTGTCTGCCCATATTATTATCATTGTTTGGCTGTTTATCTCTGTGGTGAGAATTATAGTAATCCTATTGTGTAGGTTTAAGTAAATTAATCCACACGCAAGTGCTTAGAACAGAGCCTGGTACATAGTAAGTGCTGTGTAACTGCATCATCATCGTCAGTACCATTACCCCGTTTAATAGATGAGGAAATTGAAGTTCACACAGGGCAGTCTGACTAGAGATTCATCTGTCACTTGAGCTCCTCTCTTCCAAATGCAGACTCCATGCCTTCTTTCTTCCCCCTAGGAGGAGATGAACGGCTGGCTGGAGGCTGTGGCCGCCTCCGTGGCGGAACACGCCGAGATCGCCCGCTGGGGCCAAACACTACCCACCACGTCGTCCACAGACGAAGGCAACCCCAAGCGGGAGGGTGGGGAGCGCAGGGCCAGCGGGCGCCGAAAGTGACTACCCAGCCCCAGGGTCTGACATATCTCCCCGCCCCTCCTCTCCACACTGTGGGCACAAAGACACTTTCTCTAACGCAGGGGCAGGAGCTCCTAGTTGCAATACTGCGGACGCTCCGTGACGGGCACTGGAAAGGAGGGGACTTCTTCTGCACCCCAAGAAGTGGTGAGGGGATTGCTGCCCCTATAGCCATATCTCGGCCCCTTCCCGCTCTCCACCCCCACCCCAGGTGCTGGGGCTTCATTATTTTTATGCAATAACTGAGTTTGGTGGGGGCGGGCAGGGGGCCAGTTGAGCCAAGCCTTCTGCCCCAACCGCAGATCTTGCCCCAAGAAGCTGGGGTGGTGGGGGCGGTAATTCCTGTCCTCACCCCCTGCCCTAGGGATGGGCATGGGGGCGCTGGTGAGGTCCCCTGGACCATCCAGGGTGCTAGGGGGTGGGGAGGGGACACCCCCTCCCTGCCTTTACCTCACTTCCAATGCTGCCTTGATCTCTGTCTGGGAGGGGCGAGTGAAGGGGCCCTAGCCCCCGCATTCCGCCGCCTCAGAGCCATGCGGTTAATTCTGACTTAGTTTATTTTTGCAAACGTCGACCTCTTCCTCCCCGCCCCAAATCTGCGAAGGCTTTTAATGGGAGGGGCGTCAAAGCTCAAAACTCTTCCTCTCTCCTCCCCCCTCTAGCTGTTAATGCCACTTCATGAGGGGAGGGGTGAGGGGAAGCCCTCCCCCTGCATGCTTCTTGCTGGAGCACCTCCCTGGGGAGTGGGGGAAGCGGGCTGTGGGCAGCCCTCACGGCCACCTGGAGTAGCCGCTGGGGCCCGCGGGTGTGGGGCGGTGTGGCGGGCGCACACTGTATGTACCTATAATAAACCTTTTGGCTTTGACGGTGTGTGCTGTTTTGCTCGCGTTTCACGGGCGGTACTCGGGAGGTTTAAAGCGAGGGCTGTGCTAGGTGGGGTGGGGTGGGGGGACGTGGCTGCGGAGAACATCTAGATGTACCCTTTTAGTGTGGAATTTCGGGGTCTAAACACGTGTCCCTAGACGAAGCACCTAGATGCCATACACAAAACGGGAACCCTAGAGGGATAAGGAATATTTTGTTATCCTTCGGTAATTAAACTTCCTCAAGGGAACCGCCGGGCCCGCCCCGTCCAAGCCAGGAAAGGCGGACCTCGTGAAGAAGGCGGAGGATTTAACCGCGAAGGGCGAGCGCTCTGTCCAATCGCTGGCGGCTCAGGGAGTCTCCTATCCAATGAGCAAGCGGTGGGGGAGGGGTCCGGGTGTACACCCG